CAGACATGCTACAATTTCTCCCATGTTCCATGAACAGAATTTTTTAAAAACCTTCTCTCAACCTCTGGGTTCTCCTTCAGCCCCTGACCCAAGTTTTGCTCCCTTTGACTGCAATACTCCAAAATGTTGGCTACACGTCCTGTCTGGCATTCCTCTGCCCCTGTTCCCTTGAGCCCACTCCGTGCAGGCTTCCATCCCCACTGCTCCACCAACTGTGCCTCTTTTAAGGGCGCCAATAAGGCCCATGGTGCTGAACCCAGTGGCTAGCGCTTTGGGGTTCGTCTTACTTGAGTTATCAGCAGCATTTAACAAGCGGTTCACTCCCTGGTCCTTCAAAGTCTTTCCTCGGCTTCTGAGATGCTACCTTTCTCCTGGTCTTCCTCATAACTCACTGACCGCTTCTCATTCATGACTGGTGTTGTTTTCTACTCACGTCCCCGATGTCTACATGCTGGAGCATTTGGCTCTCTTCTTTGCTCTGTCTATGCCCACTCCCTCGGTGATCTCATCTGCTCCTGTGGCTTTAAATGCCATCTACGTGCTGATGATTCCCAAATGTTATGTCTCCAGCCAGACCTTGCTCTTAAACTCTCAACTTGACATCCAACTGCCTGCTCAATAGATTCACGTTCAAAACCAAACTCTTGTCTTTCACCCCTCTCATGTTCCAAATGGGCTCCTCCTACAGTCTTGATCGTCTCAGTAAGTAGTTTCTTCGTCCTTTCAGTCCTCAGCCAAAACCTCAGTCTCGCCCTTGAATTCCTTTTCCCACACACCACACATCCATTTTGTTACCGAACCCTGCCAGCGCTGCCTTCAAAATAGATCCAGAATTGGACCATTTCTCAACATCTTCCATCCTCGCCACCCTGGTCCCTCCCAGCCACCATCATCTCTCATCTGGATTATTGCAGGCTTCTTATCTGGCCTCCCTGTCTTTGTCCTTGTCCGCCTACACCGTTTACACACAGCCGCCAGAGTGACCTTTTATTATAAAATGTAAGTCAGGGCAGGCCACGCCTCTTCTGGAAAGCCCACAGTGCCTCCCACCTCTCTCAGAGTGAAAGTCAGGTTTCCTTATGGTGGCCAACAAGGCTCTAGACCATCTGGCCCCAGTAGTCCTCTGATGTCACCTACCCTTCCTCCTCTCCTGCCCCTCTCACGCCAGGCACAATCCCATCTCAGAACTTTAGTACTTTAATTCCCACTCCTGGACCCCTCTTCCAGACCAGATGTCTGCCTGGTTTCTTCCATTCTTGTCATCCTCTCCATGAAGACTTCCTTGACCATTGTAGTTGGAGATCCCTGAGATGGGTTCAGGGAATTACTAGAAGGACTGACAGAACTCGGAAAAGCTCCTGCACTCGTGATTTTGGTTTATTACAGCAAAATAAAAAGACACATGGGGCCAAGTCCAGGAGAGACCAGGCACAAGCCTCCAGTTGACCTCTCCCAGAGGAGTCGTATAGACAGCACTTACTTTGCCCAGCAACAACGTGTGACAACACGTACAGAGGATTGCCCACCAGGAAAGTCCACCTCAGCCTTGGTGTCTATGTTTTTTATTGGGGGTCAGTCACATAGGCACATGGCTGTCTGCCTACATGGCTGACCTTAGTCTCCAGCTCCTTCTCAGGTCAAATATGCCCCAAGACCTCCATCACAAATCATCCTATTAGGATAGACTATCTGGCATGGCCCAAGGCCCCCAGGTAAAGAAAGACACTGTTATTAGGCAGAATATTACAAAGACTTAGAGGTTATCTCCCAGATGCTAGGCAAGGGCCTAACTTTTCTTTGTAATATGCAGGGTTTGGACAACATAGGCCTGCTGAGTTAACCACCCACTGCGTAACCCACTTAAAATTATAACCTTCCTCTGACATTCTCTATCCCCTTACTCTGCTTTATTTTTCTCCAGAGCTCTTACTCCCATCTGTAATATTTAATGGTTTTTTTTTTTTTTTTTTTTTTTTTGGCAGGGCCCT